GAACAGGCTTGATTTAGCGCGAGATACCATTGAGTCATTGAGTATTTCAAGTAATAGATTCACTATGTTAATAAGAAACTGGCAAGCCAAGTGAGTGAACGGCTTGTTCTTTCCACTCATGCTATGTTATGATGACATGATAAAGAAATGCAAAATATTCTGTGTGCTTGGCGTAAGGTCACAGGTTCTTAAATCCACCAGATACAGATTTCCAGGAAGTACCCACCAAGGCTTGTAGGCAGCAGTGCTTTTATTTTTAGTGGTTTGTTGAAAACCAAATTGATGATGATGATCATAATAATTAAATTTATTCATGGAGTACTTTTCATTGACTTTCAGTAGATAAAAAAAAATTTCAGAAAAATGGAAAATAAGGACATACAAGATAATAGAATTTTTGAAAAGATGGAGATAACTTTAAAAAACCCAAAGATGGGGAGTAAGAGGTAAAGACAGAAAGCCTGAGGGTAGACAGTGGGGAGTGGCAAAAAGAAGTGCTGTCAGAATTGATGTACAAGACATGTGTCATGACAGTAGGGCATGGGCTTGGAAGTGGGAGGGACGGAGGGGCTTGGGGTGAGTGCGCAATAAGCCTGGGTGAAGTGGTGTGTTTTGAGGTGGGACTTGAAGAGAGAGAGGCTGTGTATGTCATGGTGAGATAGGTGAGGGGTGAATGAATTCCGAAGATTGAGGCGGCACAATTTCCAAAGGGGCAGTTGTGTGATGGAAGTGTGGCGAGGAGACTGGCTGAACGGGATCTTAGGATGTGAGAGGGTTGTAAAGGATGAAAGAGGTCAGAGAGTTGTGCAGGTGGAGGGGTTGTTCACAACTATGAAGGTAGTTAGTGGAAATCATGCAGGACAGGCGTACAGTATGATCGTGTGACCTGGCATTTGTGAGGATGTGTGTGGAGTTTTGAAATAGTGGTACATGTAGGCTCTGGACGACATTTCTGCTGAGACTGTTGAGCTGGGGTTTGCAATAGCCAAGATGACTGCGAATGAAGGTGTTTCATGAGAATACCAGCCAAGGAGCTTGAGAGGGTTGGACAGATTTTTGTGAAGCTATGAATATTGAAATGTTTTGACCGTATTGTTAGTCTGCATGGTTGGCTCAAGGAGGACTCAGCAGTTATGACTACGTTACGAGGGGGAAACAATAGTGATTCATAATATGAAGGCACAAGCCAGGGCAGTTGATAACTTTGCGACTATTTTAAAGAGTTTGAATGAGGCACCAAATTAACATTAATGTATTGTAAAATGTGGTGATTCCTGGTTGCTCACACAGGTGAAAGTGAGATATGTTTGCCTGAGGGCACAAGGAATTGCAGGGTATTTTGACTCGGCAATGAGCCCAGGGACTAATGTGAAACCAGTCGGACTCAGTTTTTGTGTGACCATTTGATTCAGTTTTGTGAATGCTCAGTTCAGTGCCATTGGCTGCACGGTAATGTTACTGCACTGGAAAATGGGAAACTGGACTTTGGTTTCTGAGCAAGCTCAGCCCTTAAAAAAAAAATCCATGCCTGAATCACATCAGGGAGTCCTCTATTATATTGATTTGATTATTGATTATTATATTGATGTCAGATGAATATCAGGTGGCCTCTGCTGCAAGATATTCAGAGCAGAAACTTCAGTATTAACCATTGCTACAGCAGCTTTTTCCTGTTTCCAGTTTCAGGTTAATGATATGAAGTCAATTTTATGAAATTGCTTGGTAAGCAGTATAAAAGAAGCTCAACTATGAAAACTAACGTAAATTCGACAATAACTCCTCATGAAGATCTTTATTCTTCTGCTTCAAATAATTTCGTGGCCACATCAACTTCACAAACTCTTGTATTAGCCTAATAAACTGTTGCTGACGTCATCACTGCCAGGAATTCAGATGACTTCCAGCTTGGCTTTTCTCAGAACAGGCATACCTCCCCCCGAAGTACAAATCGTGACAATGAATTTCCCCTTTTGAAACGAGGGGGGAAATCCTTTGAAGGAACAGCTTCGGAGGTGTAGGCAGTAAACAGAAAGAAGTTTTTTTCGCGATAGAACCGCCCCTTTGAATTGTCGGCACAACGATTGGGCGATAAGCAGACAGCATGTTGAAAGAACAATGACGTAGTCCCGTTGTGCGCAGCCAGTGCTCCGTGGAACTGTCACTTAGATGTAATCTCTCAGACAACCTTTGGCTGTTCTCCGCAGTTGAGGAGGAGTCGTCTGAAATGTGAGCTGAGCTAGATAAAACGTGTTGGGTAGAAAAGCAGCATTTTCTCGTTTCAGAACCTGCTTACATTACACAACACAATTATAACGGTCGATTTGTGTAGCTTTGGTGGCAGAGTAGGTGAAACATTAAGGCAATTTCCTTCAGCTGACTTGATTAACGGTTGTCGCATAGTGGTCTGCGTGTCTCTTGCTTTTGGAAGTGTCAGGACTCCCATCATTTCCTCTTGAACAGGATTCCCATCAATAACAAAACGTAAGTGTTGAAATTAAATGCTTGCATGTTGTTTTTGGTCTGCATGTTTTCCCTGTAGGTGTTATTTATTCGTGCACGTAATTGTAACGCATCTTAGTTGGCAGATGTAATAACTGCATGATTGTTGCTCTGGTTAACTTAATTTACAGAAGTGGGCCTAGCGGCTAGATTGAAATCCTGATAGATAGGTTCCTGTCAGTGTGTACGATTTATTACTTTTCCTGTGCTCTCCGTCTTGAAGTCAGATCACATCCAACTATTGGTGCAATTTCTTGCTCACGCATAACATTTCAGTGGTTACGTTCGGTCGATGGAATGGTCCACGTTAGGTGCACTGTCTTCGAGCTTGATGTAGCTTACTGACGTTTTGATTAGTCTGTCAGTACTGTTTCACTCATTATTCTGGATCATCTCAGATGTCAGATGAAATGGATACTGTGCTAACCTCTCTGTTCATTTGAATTGTCCTAATCAATGGTGTGTTTTGCTGTTTCTTGCTGTTTGAGTTCGTGCATACGTTGCCCATTTAATCGAATTATAGCTGAAGGGCTCAGAATACGATTGCCTTTGACTAGCTATATGTTCTGTCTACTCGTATTTCATGGACTTTTTATTGATCACGATCATCTTGACCCATACCCTAGATTGTGTTTGGTTGCCTGAGTGACGTATTGATTGATTGATTTATTTATTTTTATCCCGGCGGTACATTGTGGGTCTTTCCTATCTGAAGGTGTAGTTGCTGCGCCTCGTTCAAGCACCATTTTGGGACCATTTTTATTGCAGGATTACATCGATGAAATACGCTCAATAATTGGCTATGAAGTTACAGAAATATCGTCCGGAAGGCGTTGTTGCGTTATTATGTCCAATATTGCATTAATGATTAGCGCATCATTCAATCTTTTGTTTTCGGTTTATTGGTCTCCTGTCGATCTTGGAATGTTGCCGTCCTCGTGTGCTTTTTAATGAATTAAATCATTAAGCACTCGTAATCAGCTCTATTTTTAGCGCCCCCTTTATGGGTTTTTAAATGGGAATAGATGGCTCAAACATTGCTCCCTCTGTTTCCGCCAGGGCACTCGAGTTTTCTTAGTTGTTGTTTTTTTTTTTTTTTCCTTCAATAAAATGTGCTTTCTGAAAGGACATCTCACTGTTGGCTAGCAAACTTTCTGACCAGTCAAAAGTCTTTTGCAAGGTATTACTTTCTCAGGTGCTGCTTTTGTTTTATCATACTTCCTTATAAATACAGGGAATCTGCACCTGTGATAAAAGCGCAAGGTGGGAGTCTGTGTCAGCCCGCGGGCAAAATCCTGTATCACTCTTATCTGCCCTTGGGCAAAATCTTGTATCAGTGGCAGCAGCCATTGCCATTGTTTTGGATAAAATGCATCGTTAATCATGGTCAAAATGAGTATATGATAAATAGAACATCATATGGACATTTTCATATCACGCCCTGTATCAAAGCTCCGGGCTGATACTGGGGTTTCAGGTTGATACAGGGTGTGATGTGAAAATGCCCATTTGATACTCTCTATTTATCAAATGTTTCAGTCGTAGTTACTACACACTTATAGATGTCAGTTTTTGCTGAAGTTTGTCCATTTCTTCTCTGGCAAAATGGGTTTTGAATAGTCAATGTCGGGTCATGTTGAATGGCTAAATTTTAAAGGACGCAGAGTGCCCTTGCCACAGAATTGTGCCTCGGGCCTGACTGAGTAAGCTTCACTGCTCTTATGGGGGCTGCAGCTGTAAGGTGTGAAATGGGGAACAGACTCTGCAAGCTGCTTCAAACTCAAGACTGTACAACGAAGATGCTGCATACTTAAGCACACTTTTAGGCTATGTGAATTATGTATGGGAAGAAGACTGATTTATTTTTTCCCATTTGCTTGTATTATTATTTTGTTGCTTCCTTGAAGCCTCTCCTATCATCACATTATTGTGTAGTTCTACTGGCAAAGACATGAAGTTTGCACCAAAGCAGTCTGTCAAAGCTTGTGTAAAAGTCTGTATGGGCCCTCTTGCAGATTTGATCAGTTCTTGAATTGAATGGCCCTCGCCACTCCTGAATTCAGAGGTCTGCAGACTGCAGTCCTCAAATGTGGAGAAAAAACAGATATTTGGATTCAGTCTTTTTATCATCAGCCTTCATATTATGTAAAGTCACTTATTTCACTTTGGGGGGGGGGGGGTTCCAGAATTATTTGCATCCTTGCCTGTAAATGCTGTAGAAATACTTCACATAAATCAATGGTATTTTTTATATAGATTTAGATATGCTTTAATTAACCCTGTTGCATAATTTGTCCTCTGCGTTTAACCCATCCTGTAGTTAGGAGCAGTGGGCAGCCACAGCGGAGTGCCTGGGGACCAGCTACAGTTCTAAACCCAGTTCCTTAGTCAGTGGCACATGTTCCTATAGCTCATGTGTTTCTGGGTTGGGGAAACTGGAGTACCTGGAGGAAACCCATGCGAACACGGGGAGAATATGCAAACTCCATGCAGGGAGGCCTTGGCCAGCTGGGACTCGAACTCAGAACCTCCTTATTGCGAGGCAGCAGTGCAAACCACTGTGCCAATGTGCCGCCCCAACAGATGGAGATTATGCCGAAATACATATGAGAAAGATATTAACTGGACAGCGGAACCAACCTCTCTTTGTTCCTTGCGTGACTTGGACATTGATCAAGGTTGAAGATTACCATCGTTAAGGATATTCCAATCCATTACTGTGCTTTTGGGGAGTTGGGGAAACAGGACTCGAGTTTCTCATTGACGTAAAGGAAAGATTATTCCATCCTTTGCCAAAATCTGTTTTCATGGTGTGTGACACACATACTATTGACTGGTAAATGTACCCCTACCCATATGCTGTACGCTTGCCAGGCCTCTCTTATTTTATATGACCTCAATTTTCCTGATTTCCTTGTCTTGCTGTGGGTGAGAGCCAGCAAAAGGGGCGAGAAAACAAAAGAAGTGTAAAATGAGTGTCTGGAAAAACTCCCGGGTCTGTTTCAGATCTATTGTCCTTTTGGTTGTGCAGTCAAGCCTTTATGACGTGTTCCTCATTCTTCAGGATGGGAGAATACGGTTTTGGCCAGACTGGCACAGCCCTGCCCTACCTACACTCGAGCTATATATTGGGTTTTGACCTAGTCTTGTTTTCTGGTATTCCCAGTCACTAAATCCTTTTAGAACGGCGATATCAGTTCATACTCTGCAAGGGAGGCAGATTATTGACTCTGAACCAATGGAGTCTGCTTGCTATAGTCCTTGGAAATGCAAGATGTTCTGAAATGAAATTTTGCCCATCATTGGTTTTGGCTTTGAGTGTTGGATGCATTGTGGAAGGTGAGGAACGGCAGCCTCGGTCGCTGTGGTATTTTCTGTGTTACCCATGAGCCACCTGTGATTCAAATCTATCTCATCAGTCTTCTGCTTTTTGCAGACTTACAGACTCTTGAAGCTCTTTTCATATTTTTCAAGTTTTGCTTTTAAAATATTTGCAGTGGAGCACCGCACATATGGTATTACTTAATAATGTATGAAAGCGTGGGTGTGCCTCTTTCCGCATGCTGCTCCTCCACTAACCCCCATCAGCTACCACCACAGTCGGAATCTGAGACCTAATCCACACAAACGCGTTTTTTTAAAAACGAGGCTCTTCCTCTTCCGTATTCCCAAAAGTGTCTTTGTCCACACAGATGCAAAAACGCAACTGAAACACTGTCAATAGCATGCCAAAAAAACAGATGGGGTTGATTTAATTCACATTAAGCCCACCCTGTAAACCCTGATAGCGTGGTGAACTCAAACGTTTTGTGGAAACTGATTACCTCAAAAAAATGGTGTAGGCTAACTTAATTGCATTGTGTGGAAGAAACTTAAAGAAAATGAGGTAAAATCATTTTTTTTACTTGCTTTTAAGTGCTATGAACACTAGATCATTAAGTTGGCAAACTCATTTTTTTTTGAGGTAATCGGTTTCCACAAAATATTTGAGTTTACCACACCGCTCAGGGTTTACAGTGCACATAGGCCAATGAAAAGCCCTAAAAAGCTGCTATAAGGTGTGCGCACTGTCATGTTGTAAGCCCAAACTCCGTTTTCCCCGTCGACACATAAATGGTGAAATTGGTTTCTTGAACTTTTCCCCCTGTAAGGTATTTTTCAAAAGGTCTGTGTTCAGTGACTGAAAATGCAGTTTGGTCGTGGAAAAAAGGCTAAAATGCTGCCCTGGCCTGTGGAAAATGCTGAGTTTGTCTTATTACACTGAACAAAAATATAAACGCACAAAGTGATTCTTTTCGAATTATTTTTTATCAATCGGGAAATATTTCAACAAAACAATTATTATTCTATTCTTGCCTTAATATTCAAGCAACAGAAACATGACTGACAATTTACAGTACACAATTCATCAGTTATCACAGCCTGAACCCAACAGGGGTCAGCGGGCAGACTTCACAGCACTCAGTAACGAGTGTGTCCACCATCGGCATCACGTAAAGCGGTCCACCTCTGGCGCATGGAGTTCGCGAGGTTGTCAATAGTGGCCTGTGGAATGTTGTCCCATTCCTCCTGCAGTGCAGCTCGGAGCTGGCATCAGCGTAACGCTCGCCCACACATCACCATACACGTTGCCTGCCATCAGCGCGGTACAGTCGCGATTCATCGCTGAATAACACCGTCCTCCACCATGCAAGCGTCCAGCGAAGGTTATGGTTGGCCCAGTCGAGTCTGTACCGATGACGGATGGCGGTCAGGTCGAGACCTCGATGCGGTCGGCGGGCTCGGAGGTCTGCCTCCCTCAGGCGGTTTAGGACAGTCTGAGCTGATATCTGCCTGTTGTGCACTCCGACGGTCTCATCAGGTGTCCTGACGGCTGGTCGGAACCAATCGCGGAGGTGCTGGAGCCGCATGTGCCAATCCTGTGTGGCCGTGGTCACACGTGGTCGTCGGGCACGTGGACGATTCACAGTGCTGCCAGTCTCTCTGAATCAACTTCTCAACCGGCTGATGGTGGAATGATGCACATTCAAGTGTGCTGACACCGCTGTCACAGATATCCCAGCGTTCAGCATGCCAATGGCACGCTCCCTCATGACTTGTGACATCTGTGGCATTGTGACTTGTGACAAAAGTGCACATTTTGAGGTGGCCTTGTATTGACCCTGGTCCAAGGAGTGCCTGTGTATTGGTCATGCTGACTGACCAACTCAATGTTACGCTCTATGCAGCTCAGGGGCGGAATAACTCAATGAGTGAGTAATCTCACTGGGAGTGGTCAATGAGACGTGGGTCACCAGAATTGAGCAAAACAAATCATTCAGTACACCAATAAACACTATTTGTGGGCATATTTCATTATAGGTCAATTTAGCTCAGCATTTTTAGTTTGTGCGTTTATATTTTTGTTCAGTGATTATTTTGCTTCAATATTGCGCAAGTCTACCATGTATGGGGGTACAAATGTGCCAAACTCTTGGTTGACAGGGTTAGTTAATTGGTTAGCTGGTCAAGATGAACTTTGAGAAGGTGTGAAAGCTTGCAGATCTATAAGAAATAATGAAAAGCAGCATATTCGGCAGAGTGCAGCCACTTCCCACCGATGGTGAGTTGCCGTTAAAACTGGCTTGATGAAATGTTAAATGGTGTTGAGGGAACAATACACTCTGAATTGGATAAAGGAGCTCTCAAAATAAAAGAATAATGAAATTGTGTTCTCGTGAAACAGTAATGAACTGAAATATTTAAGTTGTGTTATCATGAGAATAACTGATATAATGACGCATGTTGTTTTGACACAAATTTCATGATATTTATCATGTCATGAGAATGTTTCATTTCAGTCTGTGTTGAGTTTTCATGATTTATGGAATTGGGCCTATTTCAAAATGTACTGGGCTGTTGCCACGGTGCAGTGTCAGTCATCTGTTTGTCCGTCCATCCATAAAATTTTTCCTTAAACAACTTCTCAAGTTCTACCTGGCAGATTTGGATCAGACTTGGAACAGATGTTGCTCTCATGACCTTGACCAAGTGCTATTTCCGACTCGATTCAGACTCTTATATGGCTGCCCTGCCCTCTGATTGGCTGACGCATTTGCAACTTCTTCTCCAGTTCATCTGGTCAGATTTGGATTGCATATGTTGTATTTATTTGTCTCATGGGCCCGACCAAGTGTTGTTTTTTTTTTTTTTTTTTTTTTGTCTTGATTTGGAATTAACCCATTTAGGCCTGAGGCCTATTCAAAAAACGCCTATGAAAACCTTTGGGCGATTTTGAAAAGAACCCCTAAAACCTGAGGTTTTCTGGAAAACAGCACTCAGGTGTCAACGTCTAGTAAAAAGCTGATATCTCAGCCTCTGTAGCAGATAGAAACAAAATTCAAAAAGTATTTGAGAGCTTACACCTGTGGCTTTCATAGGAACTATGTTTTTTATTTGTGCAAATCTTCATCACTATATTTAAAACACTGAACAAACTATAACAAACTATAAAATATAATAAAACCAATAAAATAAATAACAAATCTCTATCTACATAACATGCACAACTCAAATGGAATAAAGAGGCCTAATAAATAAAACTATAAGCTCTGCACTAGAGAATAACAAACATTTTTTCTTTCTCTGGAACAGTGGCAGGCATGATAGAGAGTCCGTTCAAATGAAATAAAAATAAACCTAAAAATATAAAAAAATAAAGTGTCTTGAAGTGTTACTATGGCATCTGCCCTAGTATAAAGTGCCAGTAAAAGAACTGCTATGAGCCCGGAAATGGTCGGAAAAGTAATGAAAACTACAAAATGACATATCCGCTTTCCGGGCCTGAAGGGTAGAAATGCGTAACAGCGTCCCTGGTTTTAAACGTTAAAATGCACACATGCTGTCCCGGTTTAAATGGGTTAATCTATTATGGCCTCCCTGGTCTCTGACTGTCTGATGCATTTTTTACTTCTTCTCCTGTTCCACATGTCAGATGTGGATTGGACTTGGCATATGTGTTGTCTCATGGCCCTGACTATTTTTTGGCTTGATTCAGAATCCAATATGGGTGTCCCGGTGAAGTTGAAATGTTGATATTTTTGAGTGCATGTATTAAATATTCTTTTAGTTTCGAACTCTAAAGGTTGCCTCACTAGCCCACATTTTCTTATATGACTTCACACCAAGTTAATGATACATTTAGTGCAACAACTGACAGTCTACAATTTAACATCACCTCAGTCCTTGCTAGATAAAATGACTAGGTGTTTTTAGACCAAACGGTTCAAGGAACTCTTGAGGAGGAAATGCCCACAGAGGAGTTCACCTGCAAGAACTTTTTGTTTGTTTACTTTCGCACCGTCAACCCCTTGAAACCCCTTGAACCCCTTGAAATGACCTAATCCGGCTGACTGTTGGTTTACCACTAACATCACATCTACACGGGATGCAGTGTATCTTTATCGGAACGTAGCTCGCTATGATAACAAGAAAAAAAAATTATTTGGCTACTTCGAAAGAAGACGTACGATTTTTGGATTATGCGGCTGAAAGCATAAGAGCAAGGGCTAGGAGGCAAGAAGTCTTGCAACAG